TGGGGAGTGAGAATGGGGAAGGCGAAGACACATGGCGTTGTGTAGGTAACCGAAGAGAAAAATGGCTAAAAGGGGTGAGGAATGTGGCTGGCAGTAGCAACAAGAACAACAAAACATGTCAGGCCATAAAAATGAGCAGCTTCTTGGTTAAAGGCAACGCACAAGGTCTCTAGGATCGACTGTGTAGTAACTGTGCAATGCATCTAAATATTTAGTCCCTACCTTGTAACTTTGGAATCCACTGCATTATTAGTTAATTTATTACATTATAATTATGTTACACAAAAAAAAAGTTAATCCGCAATTTCATTGTTGATATAATATTTTTAATAAACATGGAAACAAATTCGAAATAAGAAAACGAAAAAACCTAAATAAATGACTTATACTTTATGAGAAGAACCACTCACGGAATTGAACAATTTGATTTCTAAAATGTAATATTTCATTGTTTCATTAATCCTTTTAAGTTGTAAATATCTGTTATGGATTGAGTATAAATATTCATTGTCCTAGCAACCTCAAGCGGTTTATAAAAGGTAATATACCCACTCAACTGTTTAAATACAGGGTATTTGCATGCAGCCGGGACTGTGGGCGTGGTCACAAGACTGACGGAGGTGAAGGTGTTCGTGCTGCCGAGATTGACAGTTTGCGAAATGGGTTGAGTAATTCATATGATGAATTATATACAACTGAAGCACCGAAACGAGATAAACTTAATAGGGGTAAGGAGAAACTCTACGATAAAAAGTACAAACATTTAAAGTAAGATGTCTTAAACTTTTCTTAAGTATGTGGAAGCTTTCAAAATAAACATATTAAGTATACACTTTAGCAGAAAGTAGTGCGTTTACGTTGGCCCTCTGTTAAGCTCATTTGAAAGGACACCGAATTGTCAATAAATCACCTTTCGAAATTACTACATTTTAGAAAAATTACCAAGCGCTAAACCAAATTTGGTTAAAATAAAAAAAAAACAAAATACAACTTTATTTTTACTGCAAGTAATGAACTTGAAAATGTTAAAATATTTTCGAATTTTTTGAGGCAAAATTTCGTTAGTTACTAGAATAAAATTTTCTTATATTAAAAAACATTTTCAAAATATATTTTTGTGTGTGACTCTGATATATTTATTTATTTTGTTTTTAGTTTTTTTAGTTTTTATTTAACAAAACTAAACTAACCCTTTATATAAAGTTGGTAATATTGCATACTTTTGAGCTGGCTGTGAATACCTTAGTACCTATAGTGTCCGCCAGTTGCGCTGAATGGATGATCTTCATGTAAAGACCGGTCTTGGCCGAGATTTATCGATAACCCCGCTAAAACGGTTCTCTCAAGAGCTGAGTCCGATTTGTTTGGCCAAAGCCCAGCAAAAGCCAAGTCTCAGACCGGTTTTGACCACGGAAGAAGAAGTATCGGGTGCCGAAAGAGAAAGCATTCTGCACAGATCACTTGGATTGTTTTTGTTGACGTGTTCAGTGCAATACGCGGGGAAATGCACAATTTTTAAGTGCTAAAAAACATAATAAATATGGCAGCAAGTGTTGTTAAAGCTCCCACGTGCACGAGACGAGGGTCTGCCAAAGATCTGGCTCAAAACGCGGCAAGTGCGGGACCTAAATCCAGCAATGAGGCTAACTGGTATGTGAAACAAGTGCAAAACAAAAGAATGGTAATGAAATTCCTGAAATTTTTACAAAAAACAGGAACTGGTTTCTCCTCCTGGCCACTGTCTTCCTGGTGACCTTTGCGACCCGTTTCTACAAGGTCACCGAACCAGATCACATATGGTAACTGACCCACTTTTGAAAGCGGATCACCGAACCTTAAGTTTTCGTCTGTTTTTCAGTTGGGATGAGACACACTTTGGCAAAATGGGCAGTTGGTATATCAACAGAACCTTCTTCTTTGATGTTCATCCCCCGTTGGGAAAGGTGTGTTTATTTTGTGAACATATAATGATTTCGAGAAGAGTTTTCTCGCGCCCCCTAACCTCAAGTTAATAATGATGCAATTTCCATTACTTTGTTTTTAGATGCTTATTGGACTCTCTGGCTATTTGACGGGCTACAATGGAACGTTTGCATTTGAGAAACCGGGTGACAAGTACAACGAAACCCGATACCAGGGAATGAGATATGTGGGTATTTGCTGTCCCGAAAAATTCTTTATAAGCAAAATGTTTTTATCTTCAGTTCTGTACAACTTTGGGAGCTCTGATTATGCCAATGGGATTCGATACTGTCTACGATCTGACGCGATCCCATGAAGCTGCGTTGCTTTCGGCGGCTTATCTTGTTTTTGGTGAGTGAAAGTAGTATAACTATGTAAAAAAAGATATCGCCGCCTATTATTTTATTATGATACGTTTTTTATTTCATATTATCACTTAAAAATTGTTATTATAGTGAAGGAAAAGGTAACCCTAAACAATAGTGATTATTTACGTACGTTCCGGACAATTGGTACGTCTTGAGTATTTTTATAATCAAGCTTATCAATATTTTCTCAGAATTTTTATTTATAATTTCAATTATAATTATTATTTTAATAATTTTTTTTTTTAATGTAACTACTTCATTGCAATTGATTTTTGATTTTCTTTTTTATACTACTAGATGTGGGTCTCCTGACACTAAATCAGTACATCCTGCTGGACCCCATTCTGCTATTCTTCATGATGGCCTCCGTGTGGGGCATGGTGAAGATCTCGAAGGCGACGGCCTCCGGAGGATCCTATGGCCTTCGCTGGTGGTTCTGGCTCTTCCTCACCGGCACCATGTTGTCCTGTACGATAAGCGTTAAGTTTGTGGGTCTGTTTGTGGTGCTGTTGGTGGGTCTGCATACGGCCACCGAACTGTGGCTCATCCTTGGCGATCTGCGACAGCCCATTGTGGAGACCGTAAAGCAGGTGGCCTGCCGGGCCATCACCCTGATCGTGTGGCCCATCCTGCTCTACATCCTGTTCTTCTACATCCATCTGAGTGTCCTCAATCGCAGTGGTAATGGCGATGGGTTCTATAGCTCGGCCTTTCAGTCCAGATTGATCGGCAATTCGCTGTATAATGCCAGCAAGCCCAGGGACGTGGCCTACGGATCGGTGGTGACCATCAAGAACCACAAGACGGGCGGGGGATACCTGCATTCGCATCAACACCTGTATCCCAAGGAAGTGGGCGCCAGGCAGCAGCAGATCACCACGTACACCCACAAGGACGAGAACAACAAGTGGCTGATCAAGCCGCACAACAAGCAGCGTTTGCCCAAGGACAAGCTGCAGGTCCTCCGTCACGGGGACATCATCCGCCTGGAGCACGTGGCAACTAGGAGGAACCTGCACTCCCACAGCGAACCGGCGCCCATGACCAAGAAGCATCTGCAGGTCACCGGTTACGGAGAAGTGGGTTTACTTAGTTATAAAGATTTTGTAATGGCCTAGTGATGACTTTCTAATTACTCGTAGTTAGGAGTGGGCGATGCCAACGACGCCTGGCGCGTGCTGATTGTGGGCGGTAAGGTCAACGAAACGGTGCACACGGTGACCTCCCGCCTCAAGTTTATCCATCTGCTGCAGAACTGTGCCCTGACCTCCAGTGGCAAGCAGCTCCCCAAGTGGGGATTCGAGCAGCAGGAGGTGTCCTGCAATCTCAACGTGCGTGACAAGAACTCCCAGTGGAATGTCGAGGACAACGAGCACAAGTTGCGTGAGTACTTTGGAATTACCTTTGTAGAGCTTATGTAGTATACCTATTATACTTGGTTATACATTTAAATAGTACCCAGTGTGAGCTTCAACGTGTATGCTCCCGGTTTCTTTGCGCGCTTCCTCGAGTCCCACGCCGTAATGCTGCAGGGAAACGCAGGACTTAAGCCCAAGGAAGGCGAGATCACCAGCAGACCCTGGCAGTGGCCCATCAACTACAGGGTATGTCGAACCAAAATGAATATTTGTTTTTATTGAATAACGGTTATACTGGTTATGATCCCTAGTAACTATTGTTATTTATTTTTATTGTAGGGCCAATTCTTCTCTGGCAGCAGTTACCGCATCTACTTACTAGGTAACCCCCTGATTTGGTGGAGTAATCTGGTTTTCCTGGCCATTTTTGTGGTAGTCTTTCTGTGCAATGCAATCGTGCAACAAAGAAGAGCTGGCCTTTCCCGATCCTTGGCCCAAAGTCAACCCGAAATCGATTCAGAAACTGTGGCTCAGGGTGAGGACAGTGAACCCTCGACCACGGACGTCTGCAGTTGCTGTCTCTCGCCGGAGGAGAAAGCCCTGAAGGTGGCGCCAAGTGGGTCCAGTGAGCTACCCACTCCAGCAATGTCCTTGCGGGCGGCTGCCTGGCTTTTTGTGGGTTGGGTACTTCACTATCTGCCCTTCTGGGCGATGGGAAGGGTGCTCTACTTCCACCACTACTTCCCGGCCTTGATCTTCAACTCCTTGCTGACGGGTAAGTGATCAGAACTAACTAGGTATATAAATTGATAGAACAGAAGATTGTAAATTATAGTTTTTGAGACCCTTTCTTATTCATTTCCATTCATATTTTAATTACCTAAAATGTTGCTTCTTTGAATAGGCGTAATGTTCAACTACATTATGAGGTTTCTGCCCAAGTGGATCCGGCAAGTTGTCCTGGGAGTGGTTCTTTCGACCCTGGTCTTTAGTTTTGCTGCCTTCTCGCCACTGGCTTACGGAATGAGTGGTCCTCTAGCCAACGAACGAAACTCTACAATGCACCATCTCAAGTGGCTTTCCACCTGGGAATTCTAGTTTTTATAATCTCTCTTGTAAGTTCTACATTTTCATTTTAATTATAATTAGATTTTATACAAATAACTTATATTGAAAATATATAATAAAATAATATTTATTTTACTTTAAGCTTCTGATAATGCTTGATTTTAAAACAGTATTATTTATTTTTTTTTAATTTTATATTTTATTTAAAAACCCACTTAAAAATCCAGGAAAAAAAACTTTTATCTCCGTTAAAATGAAAACCCTATCTAGGCAGTTTTTATATAACTTATGAGTAGATATAATTCTTAATGTACATAATCCGCTTAACTCTACGTACTGTTTACAAACAAAAACAAAAAGTCATTGGTAAAGCTAGCAAATGAAGCGAAAAGCTTTAGGATCGCAGGATCTGGGAATTATCGATCTAAAAGCCCATCATTTCAATCGAATATGCCCAGGTCATCAAATCGGCGGAGGGCGTAGCGCAGTGTTTCCGTAGTGCGGGGATTTGAGGAGAACATCAGCTCGACTTTCTTCTTGGCGAAGGTCTCGTCCGTGAGTGCCTCGATGCTGATGTCGAATGAGTCCTCCTTCATCATGGTGACCATCGGCAGGAAGGCGTAGGACGAGAAGAACCCGTACAGCTCCCTGGCGCGGATCTCCTTCTGGATGTCCTTGTAGCTGGGCACAAACGACGAGTGCATCCGCTCCAAGCTGTCTCGCAGGGATTCGTAGTACGTCTGGATGAGGAACTCACGACGGTGGATCAGCACGTCCAACTGGACGCTGCTGTTTAGGAAGAAGTTTATGTCGCAGCCCGGGCTACCGAAGAAGCTGTTCTGGAAGTCCACCTAAAATGATAGATAAGCAATGAATTATACAGAAAATACAATTTTCATAAGATTATCAAGCCAATTATTAAAAAAAATTTATTTAATAGCCAGAAACTAAGATAATTTTTCTCATTTGTTCTCTAATACTCAATTTACTAGACTCACCATATATGACATTATACAATTCTTAGTAAATGGGGGTGCTATAGAAGTTAGGTTGGAATTTATTTCTGTGTCACTCTGAAACTAATTTAAATAATTTAATAATTCTTAAGATAATTTAAGTTTTAAAAATCTAATATTTAAATAAATGATTTCAACTCTGTATGTTTTAAGGAAGCGGTACAAACATCAGAGATTTTAAGAACAAGTAAAACTGGCACTTTTCTTGATTTACCTATCATTTTCTTTTAAATAATTTATTTAAATCTTTCTAAAAGAGTAACACCCAAAGGCAACAACATGTTTCAGACAACTTTTAAATGGATTGAAAATCGCCAATTCAATAACATTCAATTCAATTCATGCAATCAAAACACTTACGAATATGGCATCGATGGGCTTCGTGGGCTGCTCGTCGTCATATTTGTACATGAAGTTGTTGACCCACAGGTCTCCGTGGTTCAGTACAGTGATCTCTCCGGGCAACGTCCGACCTGTCGTCACCAGGTTCTCCTTGATGTTGTCGCAGTGATGGTGCAGCTTCTCGGCCAGCAACTCGTATCCGGTCCACTTCGCAACCATGTTGGCCAGTGTTCGGCACTGCAGGGTCATGAAGTTGATGAACCGCTCGTTGGTCCGGATGTAGTTCTCGTCCAGCATTCCAGTGGTGAAGTGCTCTCGTACACTCGGTTCCTGCAACACATTCCGAGTCAATAAAATAAATATGAAATCAAAAAAACAAACAAATTCATACCAACTTAACCCATTTCTGATTTTGATTTAATATTTGCTTTAAGATGGCAAGGAGAGAGTAAAGAATGTATGGTCATAAAAATTATTTTAAGATATTTTAGATTTAGCCTATGTAAACTCCTTTTTTTTTATCATATTTAAGCACCAGCATAATAAATATTTCATCATAATTTAACAATATTAAGCTAAATGGTTAATACATTTTATTAATTGAGTTTTATTCATCCACAATTTATTGTATATATACAGTTCAAAGGTTCACTTTATTATTACATTTGACGTAGGCGCTCGATCAGCAAAAATCCCATTCATGATAGGGAAAATTAATGCTGTGATTGCAAGACGTCAATCAATCTAATACATATGGTGTAATGAACACTAATAATTGTATAATGAAATGGAAATCAGTTCACCCTTAACTCGCAAATTTCTTGTGGCAACACGAGTGAACTAAAATACATAGATGCGCTACATTTCTGAATTAAATTTACTACGTTGTTCTAAGTACCGATATTGATAAGTTTGAACAAAAAGTAATATTTTATTTTTGAACTGCGACTTTAAATATGTAGCACCTTTTTATTTGCATTGCTTAGTTCAAAAGTCACGTGACAAGATTTTAATGAAAATATTTTCATTTTTAATGGTATATAATTACTGGAAGCGAATAAAAAATTTGATTTTGTGCTATAATTTTATTGAACTTTGGAATTTACCATATATATTATACATGTTAAATGTCTCGGAAAAAAATTATATTGCAATCACGTGAGAAGATTGTTCACTTTGTCCTATTCCAGAACAAACCGCTTAATATATACAATTTTAAAATGAATGAATGCTATTCAGTTTTGACTAATCTACCTATCTTTAATTATAATTATCCGTTCGCCTATAGTTAAATCCATGAAAACCATACTCTTACCCAAATTATCAAGTTTTCCTACCGAGTATGATTTTTTTATCATGTCTTATTTTTGATTCTAAAACGAATTTAACCGATCCTAAGAATATTCAAAAGAAGAACCAAAAGATTCAACGCGACTTAAAAAATAAAATTTTACTTTATAAAAAGTTTTTTTGTCTAGGGATCACTGAAAATATATCAGCCTTTTCGGGATCACTCACCTTTTCGGCCAGCACCATTGAGCTGGCGTGGAACTTGCCCAGCTTCCTGAGGATGACCACACAGTGCTCCTCGTTCAGGCCTCGCTGTCTGCTGGCCAATTTATAGCCGTACTGGGTGAGGTCGTCGAAGACGATCGTCTGGATGGGCTCGCGGGTTGTGTACAGGCACTTGGCCCCAAACTTGGATCCGTCCCCGATCAAGATCTCCAGTTTACCGAGGACGTCGAAGTAGAATATCTTCTCGCGCAGATAGACGGCCAGTTCCTCGAGGAATTGGGTGGCCGGTGTGATCGCAATACTCTTGACAATCATGGCCAGCTCCTCGTCCAGCTGCCTTTTGCTGCTGCGATAAAGCGCCTTGGCCCTATAGATCTTGCTGCAGTAGTTCTCACCGCCTCCACCACTCGACTCTGCGAAGATGATCTTCTTGATGTCCACCCGCATGTCCCGCAGTCCGTCCTCCAGTGCCGCCTTGAAGAACTCTTCATTGAGGTACTTGGGTGGCTCGTGGCCCAGTCCATTCTGTTTGTCGTCCAGTTTCATGCTGTCCTTTCTGGTGCTGTATTGGTCGGCTGGAACTACGATCTCTGGGTTGCTGGTGGAGAGACACCTGCTGCGGCGGACTATTCGACTAAGAAACTGTGGTACCGCCAACGCACTTATATATATCAAGCCCTTATCAGTAACAGGTGCTGCCCGCGTCGCAGTCGCAGTCGACAACACCGACATTTGTCGCGAAACCTTATCTCTATCGATTTATAGTATAGATCAGGTGCTTCAAAGATGCAATTATAACAGGGGTGGATAAGCCCCAGTGTAACTCAGATCATACAAATTCAAGATTTAATCCTGATCTACACTTCTAGCGACAGGTTTGTTCATTATTTGGAACTTACACAAATTGGAAACTGTCCTAACTGACCGTTCTGCTATAATTAATATTATTATAGTACTGCCTGAAGAACAAACAATAGTGTTTATTCCTATATAATGTTTAGTTATTGTCCTGTCTGGATAGATTCTAAATTTAAAACAATGACACTTAAAAAGTATTCAGAGGGGACTTTTTTCTCTGTGTATAACTTATAGCTGATAAAACCCTATTGGGAACGCAGCCTCTGGCATTTGCACCAGACTAGATCACATTCCAATCAGATTTCCTCTCGTATTCTCAATTCTCGAATGTGTGTAGCATCCGTATCACCTAGGCGAGCGACGTGGTCGTCATACCCTAAATCTGTATACCAAATATAATATATTGAGGACGTACACCTACATCTATGCACCTACCCATACCTCTACATTTAGAAAAAAAACCCAGGATGCGCATTCCGATTAAACATATTTCTGTTTTGGGTACAGTGCTCGCCGTGCGAAAACATAGTATATATTCAAAAAAAACGAAACTTGACTTCGAGAGAGTAGTGGGTGTGTGAAATTGAGACAGTTGATCGGTGCACCTGTTCTAGAACATTTACGGAATACTAACTACTAAGAGATTACGGCGCTCAGCACGTGGTTGAATATTAATCAACTCGGGGTTTTCTAATCGGCTTTAATTGGAACTAATTACCAGGTGCGGATTATTTTTAGTGCAGGTCAACCAAAAAACTAGCGTGGGTTAATTGTAGTATTATTAGCATTCGCAGTTGACCATAAAGATTTCTTGAATTGCTATTTGATAAGGCAGCTACCGAAACCAGATGCCTATATAAATGTGAAATGAAGAAACCTGTATAGGCATTTCAAATGGAAGTTACTAGAAAATCTGTAAGAAATAAATTAGATTGCAAATTCTGGAAAACCCCTGCCCAATTCCCCAGGATGTGATTCGTCATTGGAAGACAGATCTTTAGAAACAACAGTGGGAGCAATGTCTTTGTTTTTACTTACCGCGATTAAGGCGATGCATATAGATATTGCGTCATGTTTTTGGTCCGGTACAGCTAACGTGCTAAATAATCTAGAAAGCCGCTATTACTAGTGCTCAGGTGAGTCAGGAATCAGAACTATACGCCTCAATCCGGATCGAACAGCAATAGAATTTAGACACCCACATATCACCTATGATCTGGCGTCTGGCTGCCGTCTAATTAATTCGCCATGCGAACTATTTATACATTGCTCTTGACCCCAGAATTTGACGGCTCTTCCGATTTTATATGTGTCTCCGCCGCAAACTAATCTCAAATGACGTATTGAACTATAAAAGTGTGCGATCTAAGTTTAAAATCATGCCGCTAAAATGTGGCCACGACAATGTTAAGGTGCACGTCTAGAACCAGCAGTATCTGCATTGCGGATGCTGTTTCCGAGGGGAGTATGTCGGCGTTCCATAATTGGGGTCAATGGGGGTTATCGAAATGGAATTCGGAACAGAGATATGCATATTCAGTAGGAACTTGATGTGGGAATTGCAGATTTAGGGGTCGAAGCTCTAATCGAAATGTGGTTTAAAGATCATCTAGATCCTCAGATAATCTATTCTCGATTTATATTTCCAACAAATATTGTATGAAATTGAGCATAATATAAATGATATAAATCTATATCATTCTTAGTCAACAAAAGCTTCTGGAAAATTGAAGACAACCTGTCAGACAGTATGACCTACGGCGTTACGATTGCATTCCGTTTGTTTTCATAGCCCTAAGCAGGCAAATACAAAACCTTCACATACTTCCACTTTTCGCAGACCACCATAACATAGCAGAAACAATAGGAACAATCTAGGTAAACATTGGATCCCATACAATCCAATCTGAAGTAGTTCGACATACCTGGTTAGGTAAACATTACGATTGTAGACACTATGATGCACGTAACCTGATCTTCAAGACACGTTTGTTATGGTTTTTAAATTATTTTTATAAGCAAAAAATAATACAATTTTTACAAGTCTTACTCAGAAGAAGAAGCACACTCATTTTTAAAAAATGAAAAGTTATAATAGGTTTTTAAATACTTAAGCATAAATGTATATAGGGAATTTGATAGACCCCTTTTGCCGAGCCACATGCAGTCCTTAAATTGTGTCAAAACTCAAGTAGCAACAAAATGTTTACTTAATACTTAGCTTTTCAAGTCATATCTGCTATTGGCTGACCCAGAGAAGGACGGGTAGAGGGGTCAAAGAGAGGGGCGCTATGGCAGCACGCCACCAAAGTCAGAGATTGCGATAGAAATATTGATGAGATAGTCCGGCCATTCGCCAATTCTCTGCTGCGCAAAATATTGCATTAATCTTGAACCAAGTGTTGTCCACAAATTTTGTGTTGACAACTTTGGATTCCTAGAGCGGTTACGAATCATCTTGAGTGCATAAGCTTAATGCCAACCCTTCAGTTAAGGTGATCCAGACATCTGGTTTTGAACCACCTATCAGCGAAATGAAGTCCATGGTCACACTTAAATGATATGCATTTTTCTGAGTGTTATGGTTTTAGGTAGTATAATCAGATAAGTAAATACAAATTAGTATAATTATTAAACACTGTACATATCTAACAGAAAATAAGAAGTAAAAATAAAATTAAATCGAAATTTTAATGAAATGATTTACTTTTTAATGTGTTTTAGTTGACCAGATGAAATCAAACATCATACTAAGAAATTATTTAATTTATTTTATTATTTATTTTTTCGAAATTGCGATTTAACTCAAGGACCAAATGTACATGACATTGAGAAAGGATTTTAAAGCTCTCTCTGTTTTACATTTTCCTATAGAACAAGCTTTCGAATGTCCCAACAAATTTTATAACGAACTCATTTACCGAATTCTAATTTTAATTTTCAATTAAATTTGAAACAGAATGCATATTAGCACACAAGCTATCTAAATCCCTACACACGTTTTGGTAGAAAACCTTGATTGCTTTAAAGAACTCAATTTTCTATCGGGAACCCAACACTAGTCACTACTTTTTTTCTTATAGAACCGAATTTTAAAAAGAATTCTTCATATTCTCCACAAAATTTCAAATTTTCCATAGAACTCCCTACCCAATCCCAAATGTAGTTCCCTACAAAGGAGGCTTGTAAATTAATTTCCCTTCAAGGGGTACGGGATGGAAGAGCACCACCCAGCTGTTAATTAATTGCCCAACATTTCGGGCGATTGGTCAGGTAGATTTTACCTGTGGTCCGAAAGTGCGAGATAGAGAGGGGTGGAAATGGGGTAAAAAGTTTTCAGCTTTTTGGGATGTCAAATGAAAAATTACCGATTTAAATGGCGGTCGCTCTGGCTCTTTTGCATTTTCGCCCTTTTTCAACTCTAACTGCCAGTCGTTTGTCGACTTCAGGAATATCCTTTGGCTCTCCGGCTGACGAATGCGTCTGTGTGCGCGTCCGTTTGACTGCGCTGTGTCTGTGTGTGTGGGCGCCCGTCGGTGTGGGCCACATGCTGATGAACACGTCTTGTCAGCGGCTAACGAGCGCCACTTACACGCTCAACAATCACTTAACCTCAATTGTTGCTTCTGAATAAAAAATACAAAAAGGCGAAAAAAGGATGAGGGCACAACAACAAAGTGTAAAGGGAAAAAAGTGTAAAAGGCAATGCCAATGGCTCTGCTCCTCAGTTCCCCCCTCCCCCCTCCATATCAGCCAGCTTCTCTTTTGTGTGTTGTGTGTAAATATACTTAATTAATTAACTGATTTTTTCCCTTTGCCTGAAATCAGTTGGTTGTGGGGAATATTTAAAAAAATAACCATTTTCAGTTTATAACTCAGCCCGGTGACGATGGATCTGCAACAATCGTTGACAATTTCATTTGGTATTTCATAAAGTTGATTTCATTACCGTTTTGCAACACTGGACTGAAATGGCGTTAATCCACTCGTATTAATTGGTTCATTCGAATTGGACAAGGTAGCTTTAATTTAAGAGTTAAGTTTCTTTTACCTTTTCTTAATTGAAAACTATTATTAAACATGTGAATACTTTGAGTTCAGTTTTTAACTTGTTTTGACCACGTTACTAAGTATATTTTATTTATTTATTTTTAGAAAAATGATTTTGCTTAGAGATATTCTAATATAAACAAGAACTAGTACCCCTTTATATTGTTATTTAGTTTATGAATTAAAAAACCTTTGAGAAATAACTGTTGCAGTTATTGAAGCCTCTAAGTATAAACTACCTTCTTATATTTGCTTATTGCTTCTGAGTAAGTAAAATGAAGCTGATTAAGGGCGCCTAGACTGAAAGGAGATAAACTAGCCACTCTCAGTAGTACTGAGGCTCAGCTCTTTTAAATCGCTTTCATAGAGTATAAACGTCCCACCGAGATATGCAAGCTGGTCCCTTGGTCTTCCACTCCCTTTTACATGGCAGTATTTTTTTGCCCTTATCCAGGCACCCGCTTAATGCAATCAAAATGCCTTTGGACGAGTGCCGGAATGGCAATTGCTATGCTACTGGTACTGCAACAAAAACAGCTGTTACCTATGCCACAGGAAGAAATTCTTTTCAGTTTGTTTCAATACATAACATTTGTAAATCAATAAAATTATTAATGGTATATGGGATTGATTGTGGTAGATACCTAAAAAAATGTATTGGATCTATCACTACAATGGTTTTTAAAAAACAATCGATTGTAATACTTAAACTATATATTTTTTCCCAGTGTGGCAATGCC